CTTGCATATGGTAAGGGTTCAACAAATTCTAGGGCCTTTCCCAAAGTGATCCAGAACAGGAGTTTTCATTCTTTCTTAATTAGATGGACATGAATAAATTTGGCACAGCAAAGTGGGTCCCCTAGTCTCTGACAAATGTAGAGGCAGCTTTCAGGTAATAATGGGCTGTGTCAATGGAAGGGTATAAAAATTTCATTTACAGTGATGGCCTGGGTTGTTGTTCATGGACAGTGGGAGCCAAACTGGGAACCGTCGGCCCTATGTCCACGGGGTCCAGAATTGGCTCTGGAGGGACGTGAGGCGAGTGGTGCAGGACACCCAGCTGGAAAGCACACTCCCTGGGAGGAAGCCCTGGGAGGGAGGACAGCACAGCCAGTGGGGCTTGCCCCATCCCACTTGGTCGGGAAAATACCGACCTCAAAATAAAAATTTATTAAGAAATTAGTGCTTGAGGGTTCTCATAATTAGTTATCTCTTGGCTGTTTAGAGAAAAAGGCAAAATGGGTTTTACTTAGAAATTTAGTGCCGTTTTGTGTGTGTCATTTGTGCTGTGGCTTCCCAGAACAAATAATATTTGGCTTTATTCCTAGAGAAATAATTCATGACACATGGGTTTTTATCACAAAATAAAAATGTCAAACTTTATCTTTGGAACAAAGTAAATATGAGTATTGTCATTTATTGTAAAAGGTGCTATCTAGATTAAATCTTGGTAAGCATCCCACTCTCCAATCTTCTTGATATTTAAAATAATGAGTAATTAATTTCTGAGCTTGGTTTATTTTTTCTGCAGGAGGTCATTTGCATGCTTACACTTTGATATTGAAAGAAATCCTAGAAGTTAAACCTCAAAAGTTGTTGACTGCCTAGATAAACATCTGCTGCTCTAATGGTGTTTTGAACTGCTGAACGACCATTTAAATATTCTTAATTCTTTTTTTTTTTTTAAATAACTGAGTGGGTGGGGAAATGGGCAAGAATTGCAAAGCATAGTCACCTAACTCTCTCTGTTTTAGTTGTTACAGAGTTGGAGTCCCCACACCTGACATGCCTTCCTCATGCAGTTACTATAACAACTGAAAGGGTGGAGAGGTTGAAAAGCACCTCAAAATTTTCCAGGGACAACACAACAAGCAAGTTTATGTTTTTCATTGCTTAATCGCTTGTGGAAGGATTTCCTTGCTCAGGTTTTTAAAATGTTATATCTACTCTTTGTTACTGACCCACTGTGAACATATATTGGTCATTCCATAAATAATATAAATTCTAGATCTTTTTACAAAATTAAATTTGTCATTCATTTATCTAACCAGTAATTCCTGAGCACTTAATACAGACCATGCCCTGGGAATACAGTGATAAACAAAAATTAGTTGTCACGTCAGCTCTCATGGAATTTATATCCCCGTAGGTGTAAAACATACCAAGACAGAATCAGGCAGACTGCAATGATTACTGTGGTCAGAGAGGGCTTCATGGAGGAGGAGGCATATGAGTTGAGACCTCAAGGATGAGAATGGGCAGTACATGGAAGAATTGAGGAAGAACACGCCGGCAGAGCTTAGCAAGAACAAAAGCCTGGAGGCTGGAATTAGAAAGAAACCAATGTGACTGAAGGGTGGTAGGCAGGGCAAGAGCAGAGCATGGACAGAGTATGAAATAGACCAGACCGAACTTCCAGGAAACTTGGCTCATCCCTGAGGAAGGATCCCAAATGGAATGTTCTTATCATTCCATGAGGTAGGGCTTCAAACTGAGGCTACTTAATTCATGTTAAGCACCAAGTAAACATTTCTTTTACTTTTTACAAGAACCCTCTGAGACAGGCCTTATATAACAACCCCGTCCCCACTCCATATCTACATTCTCAGCCTTGTTTAATAGCCAGGATATGGAAGCTTGCAGAGGTTAAGCAACCTCCCCAAGGCCGTGTGGCTTACAAGTGATAAAAGCAACATTTGAACCCAGGCCGTCCAATTCCAGGGTCACCGGTCTTAACCACTACACTATACTATCCCCTACTTGTAACTAGAGATATGGCTTTGGACAAGCCCATTTGTTCTTTCTGGGTATGGCCCGCACCTGGTGGTGTAGCATTTCCTCGATGTGAGAGGCGTACCTGATGGCATGTAAAATCATGTCCATGATTCACACACATAGCGTTACATTACATGGATTCATATCATGAGAAGATGATTACCTTTTCAAGTCTCTTTTAAGTCTTCCAATGATGTCAGGGGAAAAAGTTCAGTCTGATGCTAACATATCTTCAACATCTTTCCAGCACACGTTCACTTTTACTTTTATAAGACCTTTCCATTTTACTAAGCTTCAAGGCCCAGGGTCTTCAGTAGACAGTGCTATCTAGCTAGAATTTAGTACCACTATTGTATTCTTATTGTTACTTTCCATTGTTGCTTTCATGGTTTTATTTTGATTGTGTTTTATGATTATTTTTTATTTGTGCAGAGTTAGTGTTGCAGTTGCTGCCATTCTCTTGTCCACCCCTTCACAGGTATAAGATGACTGCTGAAGGTCCTGCCATCACCTTCGTGGCCAAATAGAAATCAAGGGTAAGGGCAGGTCTCAGTTACTTTTGCCTCCTATTACCAGAAAAGCAAAAGAATTCTCCAGACGTTGCATTGATCCGGACATTCCCATGGCCATCTGCAACAGCAAGAGAGACTGAAAGGGTGTGTGTGGCTGGGCACATTGCCACCCTAAACCAGCCAGGGTTCCCAGCAAGAAAAGGGTGCAGATACCGCACTCTGTAATCAAAGTGTTTGCCATCAGCCTGAGGCATTTCAACCTTCGCCTTAGTGCCTGTTGATGACAGGTATGCAGGAGGATTTAGGGAATTTAGCAAAAAGTCAACTTCTTTTAACCTTGTTTGGCACCAAGATACCCTCTCTTCATAGTGCAGCCAAACCCTGATGGCCCCTCACCACTCCTGTGGGACAACATGCACTGAGAAAAATAATACTGCTACAGGAGTGTTGGGAAGTCTTACGGGTTTGTCCCCATTGGTTACTACAGCTCAAAGTGCTAAACAAAAGAGCCCCACCTTTTCAGTCTCTAGTATGTAGAAAACATACATTTTCTTAAATGCACATACCTCCAAATAGCTACCCTAGAAATGAGGTTTAAAACCTTTTTTAAAAATCTCAGTTTACAATTTCAAATCTCAGTTTATAATTTCAAAAACTACTGTTTGAAATGAAGTTTTCATTAAAAATCCATTTAGTTCCCATGAATACAGCCTACTGTTCCCCGGGGCCTTCCCAGGTGCTGAGCCTACAGGGGTAAACTGGATCATGAGGCCTGTGGGCAGACATCCTGGTGGGAGAGAGAGACCAAAACTCACCAAGAAGCAGGAAAGCAGGAGGAAACTGGGAGCCAGACTTCAGGCCTTGAACATAAATTTCGTTACTTCCTGGCTGTGTAGCCTCTCAGTGCTTCAGTTTCCCCACCTATGAAATAATAAGGGTACTCATACATATCTCATGGGGCTACAGTGAAATTGCTTTCTGGCTCATGGTGAAATGAACAGCTGCATCAAAGGGCTGGGAAGCTGAAAGATAAAGCATGGAAATGGCACATTAGCACACACCTCATTTGGTGGCTGTCCGTGTTCCATGGCTTGGTTCCAATAAAGTGCTTAGAACTGTAACTGGTATACAGTAAGTGCTCAATGAATGTAAGCGACCATCCCATTTCAAGCACTGAGTTTTCACTTAGTGCTGCACGGTGCTATATACATCCTTCAAGACCAGTGCTGACAGGTGTTTGCTGCATTCTTGTACTCACAGTTGAAGAGTTCCTCTTGAGACCCTTGTTCAGAGGAATGCTTGCACAGACATGCATTTGTATGAGGTTCAGAATCTGGCCAAAGGCATGAAAGACATCATTAAGATTTGGGAATAAAGTGTAGTAAGATTGAGGTGGCAATGACTAGATGGAGCTTGCAAAACCGCTGCAAAACCGCTGATCAACAAAGAGCAGCTCAGGAAACTGCACTATCTCTCCCCCTCCTGCCCCATCCTGCCATCCTCTTCCCACCCTGCCCAGCCCCCACTTCACTCGAGTGCCCGTGGCTGGCTATTATTATATCAGCAAGTCCAGTAAAGTGAAAAGGGGAATGTAAGGTACCCAGGCACTTCCGGTGGGAGGTGGAAAGGAACCGAAGAGCCAAACAGCCAAATAAGCAGAAATCAGGCTTTATTGGGTACACTCCGGGCGGGTTCACAGACTCCGGGGGTCGAGTCCTAGAAGCCGTGCCCGATGCTGGGGTTTGTGATTTTTATATCTGCCTGTGGCAGCTGGAATTTGTTCGTTAGGGTTAGGTCCTGCGGGGCTATGCATGGGAGCCTCTGGAATGTGAGTCTATTGTCCCTGGACTAGGGCAGGAGTTGATCTATGAGTCCAGGGCAAACAGTTCCTGAAACAGGCTGGGAGTTTAGGTTGGGTAAGTAAGACAATGGTTGAATAGGTTGCCTGGTGCCAGTGCCCAAGCTATCGGACAGGGAAAATAAAGCCCTGGGCTTCCATGGAAAGTGTTTTAACTCTCACAACCAGAACATGTGTTTAATAAAAAAAAATATATGTGTGTGTGTATACACACACACACACACACACACACACACACATATGTGTATATATATATGTGTGTGTGTGTGTGTATATACATATATATGTATATATACATATATACATTTATATATGATCTTTAACTTTTTTTTACAGCATCTCAGTACCCAACCTTTTCAAAGCATCTTTTCTAAGGAAGGACATTTCCTGAGACAATGTAGCATAATCTTTGTCAAGTGACTCAGTTTGACATAATATGCATTTTTTTTTTCAGTCAAGTGGCCCAAACTTACAGAGAAAAAGTGGGCTTTTGGTATCAGTTTGATGTCAGGGTTTTTCCACATTTGCAAAGGAGCTTTAAATACGATTCGATGTGAAGGTGTCTGCAGGCCAAGTTCCAGCCCTATGTCAAGATGCTCCTGACTGTGGTCCTTGCCTCTGCCCTTCTCCTCTGCTCTGTGGCTGACCAGGGGTGTTTGACCTTTGTAGGAATCAAGGATGTCAGTTACCTCATTGACAAACTGCAGGTAAGCTGTAGACGGGGACACCAGTGGGAAAGGCAGCTATAGAAACGTAAGTGAAATTTTTAGGAGGGTGAAAAATACACCACACATCATGGGTTCTTGTCTCCATCTACTTTAGAAAGATCCTCTGTCAAAATGCAGCTGCAGTGGCAACGTGAGTAAACGCTCTTTTAAGAACTTTCCAAATTTATTTTAATTTTCATCCTGGAATCTTCACTTTGAAATTACTCTTTTGCAGGTGACCAGTTGTCTGTGTCTGCCCATTCCTTCTGTGAGTATAGTAAAAGAATATAATCTTGATCTTGTTCTTTTTAAGTAAAACATAATTGCTTTATTTGATATTTCAGATAAGCAAGTGTTATTTAATTACAATGGTTGCAGATTAGCATTTCCTTTTAAAACCAGGCTCTTGAAATTCTATATTATACAGATATTTGGCCTGTTCTATGTCTCTTGAGAAGTTTGACCACTTTTCAATATTTAAAAAAGAATCTTGATTGTCTTTTTAGATTAGTTGTGCCACGTGCACAATTGAATTAACTGGAACAGAGATAACAAATGATGTAGCCTGTATCATATTACTTTCTAATCCACTTGATGATAACTCTAGGGTTGCAAAACAATGTAAATAAAATGACAACTCTTCATCTTCTCTCTGGCATTCATTATGTATGTGCTATGTCTTTTCCCTCCCTCCCCTCGCCCTTCCTGTCTGTCTACTCAGCTGGTTTAGGATGGCCTCTGGGAGAACACAGTGGTTGATGTTATGGGTAGAGGGGAAGTGAAAAAAGCTTCCGGAAGTTCATTGCCTACTTGGGCTGAGAGGAAGCAGTCGCAGGAATTTTCTGGAGATTTGTGAGGAGGAAGAAATTACCCAGGGGGCGCTGCTTTGCTCTCTCTGAAGCAAGCTCTGGGAAACTCAGTGTTTCTCACCCCAGAAGGTCTGAGGTCAGACTGCCCACCCAACTGTGGCCCACGCAGTAGATGAGAACAGGATAGGGCAGCACCACACAATTGTACCCCATCGCATTCCCTTGGTTCCAGTCCACGATTTTAGCTACTGCGAAACACTGGCTGTATTCAACTGGCACATCCCATCGGCTGGTGTGAAAGGCTTTTTCTTCTCTGTGCTTTCAAACTCACTATTTCAAGACTTGGAACAGGGGAGTATTGTTTGAAAAGGAGACTCAGAACTGGCTGTTTTCCAGGGCCCATAGGCCTCATGTTCCCAGGATGGGACATACTGCAAATCTCCAGGGAGTGTCACTGTACACAAGGGGCCTCACCTTCAAATACTGGTCATTCCCTAGACTGGCAAGGGACCTGTCTAAAAATGTCAGGTTAGGTTACGTTGGTTAAATTAAGATAGTCTCTAAAGCATTATTTTTTCCTTATCCTTTCTCAAAAGTGGTCCTCTGAGTGTTTCTCTTCATCAACCTTTGTCCCCAGGACTCCTGCAGCACACCCTGCTTCCAGGAGGGTCTGGCCCAGATAGCCAACACCACTGTCCAGACAAGCTTCTCCCTGGTGTTCAGTAGGGTTATGAAAACGGTTGGAGCCCTGAAGAACAGCAAGTGTCAGGTGAGTTTGTTTTTACCTGTGATGTACTCTGCTTAGTTATTTCTACATGAACCTGATGCCAAGTCTATCTGAGTGAGGACAGATGATAACATTGGAATTGGTTGTTCAAGGTCAATAAAAGACATCTCAGAAAATTAATCAGAACAATAGAATTAAAGTGAGATCTGCCTCTAATAACCCAATGTTCCCTAGCTTAATGTTGCCATTTATTTCTCTCCATCTATTGAATAATGAAAAAAATTCATCTGATTGTAATTAGAAGCTAAAATCTAGAGAATCAGGGCTATCGCCCACAGAACACTAAATTATCCTAGAGATCCAATCTGCTAATCCATTCGGAACTGAGTGGAAGTTGTAGCCTGCAAATGACAGAAGAGACATATATGTTTTTGATTGGCTAAGGAAGTGTTTAAAGGAAAACTTACCCAGATCCAGGTGAAAGTTTGCCATTTGCCCTAAATGCCCATCAGCACATTATCTTCTTTAGCCTATACCCTGTCCCTGGAGGAAAGGGGACGGGTGTGAAGGCTTTGGGTGTAGCATCTCCTCCTGAGTTCACCTGTTTCTATCATCAACAGTTCTAAGTGCTTAATATATACTGTTTCATTGCGTACCTATCTTACAGACAATTGTTAGACTCATCATCCTCACTTTATAGAGGAGGAAACTGAGGCTCAACAAGTTACTTAATTTTCCTAGGGCTGTAGGTTTAATAAGTGGCAAAGCTGAGATTTGAATTCTGGTCTATAAGGCCCCAAAGTCCTGCTCTTTGCCATTGTGCTATAGAATGACCTTGAAAGGACAACCAAAAAGGATAATAACAAAATCATTGGCCTCAAAATGTCCCAAGAAAAGATTGCCTCTAATGAGATTTAGGGCCATTTGATAGGTGTCTAGGGGTGTGTGTGTATGTGTGTGTGTGTGTGTGTGTGTGTGTGTGTGTTCCCTGAAATCCTACCACAAAGTCAGTCATCCATGTGTCTACACAAAATGCTAGCCCTGGGCCTCCCCATCCATTTGCTCCGTGTCCCAAGCCCCCTGCTGCCTGCACAGCCCTCCCATGGCACCCCCAGCCCTCCGCAGGTTCTGGGCCAGTGGTTCCAGGCTGCTAAGTTCCACACTGCCTTAGTCACTCTGTCTCTGTTCACTCTTATCCCCACAGTACTTTTCCTGTGACCAGCCGTGCAACCAAACCACCTCAGGCAACACGCTGACATTTCTCAACAGCCTCCTGGGAGTGTTCCAGAAAGAAAGGATGAGAGGCAGACCATGAAGATAAAATAGTATTTATTCTATTTATTGAATTTTAAAAGCCTCCCCTTTAAGTTATAGCAATTTAAAAATCAAGTAAGCCACGCTATATCAAAATCAATTGTAATATTTGTTTAAAGTTTAAAAAAATATTTGTTTAAAATTTTATATCTTTATTATGGAATAAATATATATGAAAAAAAGGAACAAATCTGGTCTCTGATGTTTATTCCTACCTTGCTACTCAGAACAAAGAGCTGCAAACTCTGTCAAAGGGCTGGCTGGCTGAAGGGGTGCAGCTGTGAGGCTGTGGGGGAGCCTGAGGGGGAGCCTGAGGGCTGCTGCTAGGGGAGACCAGGGGCATGCCTGGGGGCCTAGCTGTGGGTGCTGGGGAGCAGGGCTCAGGGCACTGACAAGGAGTTCAGGTTCTGAGAAACTGACCGTGTACCTGAGAAGGGAGAAGGCAGCGGTTTGGGAAGCTCAAAGGTGGGATAGTACTCAAGAATGTAATGCGGGCATGTTCATGCATAAGAAGGTGCTCGAGGCTGAGGCGGGAGCAGGTCATGGAGCAGACCCTGTGGGTCAGAGCACAAAGCAGAGAAACCCTGGGATCCACACAGTCATTGATTCACCAGTCAGCTAGCACCCACCACGGCCGGGTGCAGTGCCTGGCTGGGCTGCAGAGGCTAATGGAGGATATACCTAAGGGAACCTTACTAGGTTGTCTGGCTGCCACAGTGTCACTGTAGCTATCTCTGATGGTTAATTGTGTGTGTCAATTTGACCAGATGATAGGGTGCCCAGATATTTGACTAAATATTGTTTCTGGATGAGATTAGACTGAGTAAAGCAAATGCTCTCTCCAAGTGGGTGGGCCTCATCCAATCCCTTGAGGGTCTGAAGGGAACAAAAAGGCAGAGGAAGAATTGCTCTCTGCCTGTTAGCTTGAGCTGAGACAGCAGTCTTCTCCTACACTTAGCCTGGACTTACACCAGTGGCTCCCAGGTTATCAAGCTTTTGGACTTGAACTAAAACTGTACCACCAGCTTTCCTGGGCCTCCAGCCTGCAGAGAGCAGATCATGGGGCTTCTCAGCCTCCATAACCTTGTGAGCCAATTTCTACAATCAATCTTATCTATCTATCTATCTATCTATCTATCTATCCATCTATCTATCTATTTATCTATCTATCGATCGATCTACCGATCTATCAATCTGTCTGTCTATCATCTATCCATCCATTCATCCTTTAGGTTCCGTTTCTCTGGAGAACCCTGACTAATAGACCACCCATATTGCCTTGACACTCGGCCTAGCCCCAGAACTCTGGGGCCTGGCTTCTGCTGCACAGCACTCACCACCTTCTAGGCTGCTCTCTCATTTCCTGATTTACCACGTTTGCTGTTTACTGCCTGTCTCTTCCAGCTCAAGTGCCAGAAACCTGATGGAGAGATCTTTGTTTTTTGTATCCCAAATGCCTATCCAGAGCCTATACTACTGCTATTCCAGAGTAGACACTATAAATATTGACCAAATAGATGAAAGCCCTTTGAGATGCAAAAGTAAAGTATAAACTGGTGTGTAGGTCAGGGATGTGCTCACCCGGAGAAAGGATAGAACCCAGAACATACTGCACATGTCCAGAAAGGTGAGGTCCCTTCCAACACCTCCAGGCAGGCCCTGCATCTGGGGTTCCCGTGACTTGGCCACATGGGGGTGGGCAGCCTGTGCTGCTTGGGCTCTCTGGCTCTGTGTGATGGATGGGGTGGATGCAGGGTGAAGGTGAGCATCTTGGAGTTGGGGTGTCTGACAATCAGAATGGCCCTCTCCCCTGCTACCTGAAGGCTTAGAGGCTTGAGAAGAGCTTAGAGGAGCCTACAATGGGGATTATTTTTGTAGGTATTGTCAAAAAAGTATTGCTATCCCTCCCTATTCGGCTAGACTATTGTTGGGTACTTTTGATCACAATAATATGAAAAGTTCAGAGCACCAAGAGACAGAATTTCTCAAAGAGCTTTGCTTGGCTTTTATTTTCAGTCAGTTACAGCATCAAGCAGTATCCCACGTGACCTGCACCGAGGTTCTCTGTGGTCTAAGTAGCCCGTGCCTGGAGCTATGCAGCTCCTCTAGCAAGGGTTGGGCACAGGTTTGGCCCCCACCTGCAGCCAAGCCCCTCCCACGTAGGAGAGATGGAGAAGGAGTTTTAGCAAAAGAGGCCATGTCAGGGGAGTGTTTTATTTTTGGGGGTACAGAAATTGTGTGTCCATGATGATATGAAATCATAATTTTTTTAAGTCTTAGTTTGAACTGAAAGAGACAAATTCCTCAGTGATCTTGTTACAGGGGTGTGTACATCGAAGGGTGACAAGTTGGATTTCTAAGTAGAGAGGCTTTCAGAAGGGGACCACTGACTTAACCTTTGCCCTCTCTCAGCGCTAAAGGCCACCAGACATTTGGCAGGGGACACAGAACTTAAGACAAATAGATAATTGTCAGTTTGTTGACCCGTCTGCTTCTCTTGAGAAGTGAAAAACATTGTGTGGCAGTGGTGGGGGTGGTGGGGGACACAAGTTCTAAGATTTCCTGGGAATGAAAATTTGTGTTTGTTAGAATCTCCCAGCATCGCCTATGATTTCTTCCCCGGGACATGAAGTTCTGAGCATCAGTGCCCTCAGCGCCCCCCTCTTCATGCACAGTGACCCCTGCATGGTGCACTGCTCACAGTGCCCAGGTGGCTGTCCTGCCTGTCTCCCAAGTGGGAGGTTGAACGACCCTTTGGAGGTTGAACGACCCTTTCACAGGGGTTGCCTAAGACATGATAGTAGCAAAATTACAGTTATGAAGTAGCAATGAAAATAATTTTATGGTTGGGGGTCACCACAACATGAGGAACTGTATTAAAGGGTCGCGGCATCAGGAAGGTTGAGAACCACCACGGCCTAGATGGTCTGTGGCTTCCCTGGGATAAAGCACTGAGGGAAAGATCTGTCAAATAATACATTTAGTATTATTTATTAGTATCAAAGCGTGTAATTAGCAAGCCCTTACTCTGTATGTACTAAACATGCATCATCTCATTTAGCCCCCTAATAACCATGGGGGTGGGAAGTATTGCTCTGTTTTTTTGTTTGTTTGTTTGTTTTTTTTATCCTCACCCGAGGATATTTTTCCATTTTTTGTTCGGGTAGAGTGGGAGGGAGAGAGAGGAACAGAGAGAGAGAGAAACACCGATGTGAAAGGAACACATCGAGTGGCTGCCACCCGCACAACCCAACCAGGGCCGGGGACAAACTGCAACAGAGGTACGTGCCCTTAGCGGGAACCGAACCCAGGTCTCTCAGGACCGCAGGCCGACGCTCTAACCGCTGAGCCAAACCGGCCAGGGCAGTATTGCTCTGTTTTATAGAAAGGGAAACCAAGGCTCAGAAGGTTCAATGACTTTCCCAAGACCAGCTGGTGAGAGTGCCAGCAGGCTCCCGCCCCAGCTGTCTCTAATGCCAAACCCTTTGAATTTTCGTTCTGCTCTTATTCTGTGAATATCAAATGTGTGTGTTGTGCTTACTGACTACAGTCTGAGGGTGAAACAGATTTATAATAATATGAGCCCACACGGCCAAATCCAAAAACCTGTGGCCCATATAGTCTGCCTCAAAATGATTAGGCTTTTAGGAAGTAAACACACCCAGTTCATGCACCACATATTACATAACACCTGCAGCCGAGCCTGGGGCAGGATTCTGTAATTAAACATGTTAATATTCTGCAGCAAAACACGTGAGCCATCACATGAGGTGATCAGGTTTGGCAGCCAAAGGAATCTCAACAAACTGTGGGCTTTGGGAGCTGTTTGGGCTTCAGAATTGTGATGAGGAACCGAGCAGCATTTCTCCAGCTCTGCCCCACTCACAGAGGGGCTCTCTCTCCCAAGGGCTTACCTGGAGCTGGGCTGGGCGTCTCCAGGAGGGACACAGGATGGCCACCATGTGGGGTCCCAGGTCAAGGCTGCAGGGCCTTCTCTTCTCCTCTCCTCCATCTGGGTTTTCTGAATGACTGTCCCTAGTCACAACTGTATCGTGTTACACACTGTGGTTTACAGGCCACAGCCTCGGAGCTGCCGCCTCAGTGAAACCCACCCACACAGAGATCACAGCAGGGACAGATGCTGGTGATTGGCTTCAGCACACAACCTGAGAACACAATCGCTGCCAGTGTAGATGGGCAAAGAGATGAGCTGCAACCCACTGCCACAGATTCATCACCAGCAGAGCTTGGTGGTTTCCCTCAGCTTTTCTGCAAAAGTCGTAAAACCCACAGGACACACCCCTGCAGACAAGCTCACAGCAGGCTTCTCAGGGCCTGGGTGAGGTGCTCTGTGACTACTCTCCTCCCTGTGCCTGGACAGTTGAGATTCATCTAGAAGTCACCTTGAAAAAAGAACTCACATTTACCAGGCACTGTGCTCAGCATGCTTTGAGGAATATCTAGTTGGATCTTTAAAACCATCTCTTGAGATAGAGATATAATTATTGTATATAATTATTTCCAGTGCATAGCTGAGAAAACTGAGGCCCAGAGAGGTGACATAATTTGCCCAGGGCACACTGCTTATAAGTGGTAAAGCCAAGATCTTAACTCAGGTAACAGACCCTAGAGCCACACTCTTAAATCCAACCAACAGTAGGGGGCAGTTGTCCACACAGTCAGCTACCTTGTCCGGGCTGCTAGGACCCAGGCTACGTTGTTTCCAGGAGAGATTCTAGCCCAGGCTACACCATCACTGGCCGAAGCCGAGCCCAGATGCTGCTGGCCTTAAAGTTGACCAGTCCACATGAATGTCTATCTTCCCATCCATCCAGTTTGAAACAAGACAATATTGTAAAGTCTCCGCCCTGGAATTCCTATCCTACTGAGTCTAAGACCTCTCTTCCTCTAGAAAGGGAGTTCTCAGCAGAAATATAAAAACCATTTACCCATTTAAAGTGGATAATTCAATGGTTTTTAGTATATTCACAGGGCTGTGCA